ATTCCCTGGAGAAGGATGTCATGCTTGGTAGGGTGGAGGGTCGACGAAAGAGGGGGAGGCCTTCAACGAGATGGATTGACATGGTGGCTGCGATGATGGGCTCAGGTATAGCAGGGATCATGGAGCTGGCGCAGGATTGGGTAGTGTTTCGTTCTGCTGTGCATGGGGTCGCTATGAGTCGGAAATGACTCGACGGCACCTAACAACAACATACACTGGGAATAGACAAGGAAATCAGTGATCACAGTGCCTTGTGATAAGGGACAGTGATAGAGCTGCATGAACAGGGGTGCAGTTGGATATGGAGAAAAACTAAACCCACTGCCATCGATTTGATTCTAACTCACAGGGACCCTTTAGGACAGAGCAGAACTGCCCCATAGTGTTTCCAAGGCTGTCAGTCTTTATGGAAGTGGACTGTTTCACCTTTCTCCTGCAGAGCAGCTGGCAGGTTCTGCCAACTTTTGTTAGCAGCCAAAGGCCTTAAACCACTATGCTAGCAAAGGCTCTCTGCACAAATAGAACAGGTACACAGATCACACTGGGGGATCAGAGAGGTTCTAGAGAAAACAATGCTCAACAGGTTGTTTTTAAAATGGAAGTGAAATCCACATATGAACCATTTTCCAGTGCACAGTTCACTGGCATTGAGTGCACTCACAAGCTTTGCAACCATCACTTCTATCTAGTTCCAACTACTCTGAGTTTTGAAGGGTGACTAGGAGTTGCCTAGATTAAGAAGGTTGTGGGGGAAGCATATTAGGATATGAGAACAACACGCTTGAGGATGTGGAGATCAGAAATAGCATAAATTCAGATGGAGTGGTGGGAGACAAGACTTGAGGGGGCCCAATAAGAATTGTCTGAATTTTAACTTGATCCAGAAGCTTGCGAAGCCCCTAATGGATGCCGAGCGTGACGTGATCCAATCTGCCCTTCAGAAGCTCTGGCCGTGCTGCTTTAGAAAGAGGAGAACCAAGGAGATGAGTTGGAAGATTTTAAGCAATGATCCAGGTGAGAGGTGATGAAAGCCTGAACCAGGGCAACAGTGATAATGATGGAGGAGCCGTAAACTTGGATACGGAACCAGAATTTACATGACTTAATGACTGATTGGACATTAGGCCAGAGGAGGAAGGACAGGATGATGCCTGCCACCTGTCTAGGTGACTAGGACGAGGGTGGGGCATGTGGGGTGAAATTGGGGGAAAGTGATTAGTGGAGGGGAATGGGTTGAGTTTGGTTTTCTTGAGTTTCATCTATATGAAGAGTCTCAGAATGTTTAGTAGATGAATGTGGCCCTTGGCAGAAGGGTCTGGGCTAGAGTTGAGAACCTTCTTTCTGTTGGTAAATGAAGTCATGAGTTTGGATGAAGTCAGTTGGGAAAAATGCAGAGAGAGAGAGAGAGAGAGAGAGAGATGAGAGCTCCTAGGACTGAACTTTGGGGGCCAACTTTAAGGTGTGCTGAGAGGATACCCCAAGTCATGGTGTTTTCAGTCACCTCATATGCATGTGAGAGCTGGCCATGAATTAGGAAGACCAAAGAAGAGTTGATGCTTTTGAGTTGTGGTGTTGGCCAAGAGTACCAAAAGTACCACAGACTGCCAGGAGAATGAACAGATCTGTCCTGGAAGAAGTGCAGTCGGAATGCTCCTCAGAACTGGGAATGGCCAGTGTGTTAGATTGGGTTCTCTAGAGAAACACAAAAACCAGCAAAGCGTATATGTATGTGTATATATATATATATACACGTATATATATATATATATATATATATATATATATATATATATATATAGAGAGAGAGAGAGAGAGAGAGAGAGAGATCGGGAAATTTATCTTAGGAAAATGGCTCACAAACATATAGAAGCTGGCAAGTCCAAAGTCCCTGGAGGAAACATCGGGCTGGCGGCAGCCTTAGCTTCTGCAAGCACAGGGGGCCGAGAAATTCAAGGCTGGCAGGCAGTACACTGGTTGTTGACTCCAACAAAAGATGAATCCAAGATCTCCAGGCCGAGCGGTGGGCTGCTCACTCACGGAAGGTTGTAGTCAGCACACTAGGGTCCCAATTCCTCAAAGAATGTCTCTTCCCAGGATGTCCCTGGATATCCTGGAAGCAGGCCACACCCCTAGGGAAACTCCCCTTGGGCAGACTAGCCACTCAGAACACAGTCATCCGATCCCATCATGGGAACAACCACACAGAACTGGGGTCTAGCCAAGTTGACACACAGCTCCAACTATCACAGCCAGACTGTCTCACCTGCTTTGGTCATGAGGTCAGAAGGGACCAGTCCCTGGAGAAGAATACCATGCTTGGTAAAGTAGGGGTCAGTGAGGGAGGGGAAGGCCCTCAACAACATGGACTGACATATTGGTGGTGGGCTCAAGTCTAGCAGGGACTGTGAGGATGGAGCAGTGGGGCAGGACCGGGCAGCGTTTTATTCTGTGGCACACGGGGTTGCTATGAGTCAGGGCTGACTCGACAGCCCCTAACAACAGGAGGCTAGAGCTCTATGGTTAAGAAAAGATGGTCACACTGAGGCCAAGGTAGAGTTAGCATTTAGTGGGAGGGGGCGGAAAAGTGGGATGGAGCTGAAAAAGGACAGAAGGCGGGGAGGGCGGGGAAGTACTGGTGTGTTTTGAAGGAAGAGGACGGTGGGGATCGGTGGGTCGGAGATGCTCCTTCGAGTGCATTATCGTCACTGGGTCCCCCCAAACCGCACACATCTCTCCACTCCAAAATGAGCTGTTTATTGCTTATAAACAACTTCCCAAGTACAGACAGTTCATTTATCAAAGTAATTCTGTGGGGTGAACATCAGTGTCACCAGTCACGGCCTATGTAATGCCTGAAATGCTGGGGCTCCTTCCTGACCTTCCCTTTGCCTACTTCTGGGGTGGCGAGGCCGTGACCCTGTAGTGAGTGGAGGAGCAGGTTGACGCTGCTTCGCCTGGGGCCCCGGGACCACCTTAGCAAGTTGAGTGGGATGAGGAGGAGCACTGACTGACCGCTTGGGGGCTCCTCGAGGGGCCTCTATGGTCTCAGCGAAGAGCTGCTTTTCTAGGCCGACTTGGACTTCACGGTCTTGCCAGAGGTGATGAGGGCCCCAAATCCCTGCTTGTGGGAGAATGCGTAGGCAGAGCGTCGAGAGCCCATGGCCTTCACTTTGGCCCGGGCGGGGGGTGGCAGCGGATGCTTCATGCACTGCCGAATCCTGAACAAAGCCTACAGCCAGAGCAGGTGGCATGGTTTCGTCCACAGAGCCAAAGGCGATGAGGGCCATGAATTACATGGGGGTGGGGTCCCGTATTCCTCTTACCTTGTCCATGCCGACAGGCCAGACCAGTGGTTTGATAAATTTGTACCCGATCACAGGCAACATACAAAGGGCCACGCTGAGGGTGACACTCAGCCACGCTTGTGGCTGGTTTAGAGTGTTCCTGGCCACTCCTGAAAACAGCCAGAAGGAGAAAGGCCAAAACAGAGCAGGAGTGGGGTAAGGCGATGGGGAGGAGTGCATGGAGCCAGGGGAGGGGTTCCGGCCAGCACTTAAATACTGTCCGTCCAAAGAAGAAAGTTCCTGACTTGGAGACAGCCCAGTCTCCTGAGACATAAGTGCAAGAGACACCGTTGGGTTCTTCTTGGAGCCAAAGTCATTGTGAATTTAGGTGCCTTTGTCCCCCTCCAAAGTCAGGGCAGGGGTGTGGGAAGGTTATGTGGGAATCCGAGAGCACTGGCCTGGGCACAAAAGGGAGAAGGAGGACTCTGGAGGAGGAGAATGAGGGAGTGGCCTGGTGCGAGTAGAAGCCAGCGACATCACCAGCGCTGCTCCCTCTACGTTTTCGCAGAGTGGAGACAGGAGAGGAAAAGGAATAGGGGAGACAATAGACAATAGTGTAAAAGGGCATTGGACTGGGAGCCGGTACCCCTACAGCCGAGTCATTTAATTCTGAAAAATCGACGTCCAGGCTCTTAAATGGTGCTGGACGTCTAGGGATGTCGTAGAGATGAAAGCAGGTAAGAAATCGGATAATATTTTGGAAAGACTAATAAGGCAAAATATTTCCCCTGGGTAGATTTTTGAGTCCTTGTAAGGAGCTCTTGTGGCGTAGTGCCTAAGGCACTTGACTGCTAACCAGAAGGTTAGTGGTTCAAACCCACCAGCTGCTCTGTGGAAAGATTCACCACCTCAGAAACCAATGGGGATCACTATGACTAAGAATCAATCGATGGTAGTAGTGCGGTTTTTTCCTTTTGGTTTTGTAGTGCAGAGGCCATGTCTTATTTATATCTTTATCCACAAAGCCTAGCACATAGGAATAGCTTCTCAATAAACACTGGACAAATACACTAGATTACGGCCTCCCTTTTCCCCTCCCACATATACCCCCACTGGGCAGGGCCTTACCTAGGAATCCGAAGACATTGGGGAACATTTGGCACAGGCCATCGCTGTACAGGAAGAATATGGTGCAGAAGGAGAAGCCCAGGCTGCCCCAGGTGAACAGGTGGCTTACCACGGTCCAGTAGGTCGTCTCCAGGGCAATCTGAAAAGTACCCCTGATGTGCAGTGCCCTGTGGCCTAGGATCTGGCAGCTGCCCCCCTCCTCCTCTTCCACAATGGAGGATGCTCCCTTCTCACTCTCCTTCCTTCTTTCCTTGTCTTCCAGCCCCCTCACCCCCATCCCCCACCCAGTCCCCTCACCCTCATCCCCACTAGCCACACCTGCATTGTGACCACACAGAGCAAGGAGGTCTGCACCATCATGGAGAAGGACTGGTAGTCAGAGATGTCCTTCCCATCACTGCGCATCGAATTGCAAATAGTCTTCATGGGGACAAGGAAGAGCATGAGGGAACTGTAGACGCCATGGAGTAGACACTTTACAAATTCCTTCCTGTTGAAATGGAGGTTGTCCTGGCCTGGCTCATACAGCTCTGGGAAGCGCAGGCTGCACATATCATCCACATCCTGGAAGGACCAGAGGGAAGCAGCCAGGCTCAGCATTTCTCCATGGAAGGCCCCATCTCCACCAGAGCAGAGGCTTCCCCCCTCACTGAGTCCTAGATTACCTGCTGCCAGCTCCCTAGGAAACTCACAGGTTACTTCAGAAGTGGAGCCAAAGAACAGAGCAGTGACCACAGACCCTTCCTAAAATCCTACTCTCTAGCCAAGGACCTAGGTAGATGAAGATAACTAAGAGAGGGTCGGGATGGTGGGAAAGACATGGAGTCAGTAATAGGACTGGGGAGTTAAGTGGGAAGGGAGCAATTAGGATTGGGGTAGCTAGGAGGGAGGACTGGAGTTTGGGATGTGGCAGGTGTCTGGGACATGAGTACCCAGGTTCAGCTGTTCCTTTACTTGAATGTTCTTCGCATCAAAAGCCAATAAGGGGGTGGAGGAGCCAGTGGGGACAATCAGTATCCACATTCTGTGATTTTCCTTCCATTCCCAAAGCTATTGGTGAACCCAAATGAGAAGATTTCTCTGTGTGTGTCATCTTCACCCCTGAAACTTCAGGTAACAAAGCTAGGGCATGGCTTTACAGATTATTGGTCCCTGGAAGTAAGACCATGCATGCAGGAGAGAACTGTTGAGTGACACAGCCATTCCTCTGCTGCCCCGAGCTTGGCAGGGACTGCATGGACAGCTGTCATCAGAGTCACCACCCGGACGGAGACCGGGAACCCTGAGCCCTTGATGTTCTTTTAGCTATGTTCTTCCTCTTTGGAGGGCCCTTTTCTCTTCCATGTTCCCAGGATGGTAGGTAGGGGTAGAAGAGAAGTGAAAGGTGGGCCCAGGGCCCTCCGTGCCCAGGGGAACTTCTAGTCGGGACAGATACCGTGGTTTCATAGCCATACTCCATGCTTGGCCTTGCAGACTTCTCACCTAGGCCTCTCTACCCTGGTTTATTGCATCCTCATCATTTTTGTGTTGGTCTCTCCTTCCTTGAAGGCCCTTCTTTACTCAGTCCAGCCTCAATAACTCTCTATGTCCTTTTACTACTATTGTGTGCACTCAATTTACCGTACAGCACAATTTCCACTGTCTTTCTACAAGGATAAAACTGACATGGGAAAACTTGGATTTTTAAAACTGATGATTATTCTCTATGGAGAAGGATTCTTTATTCCATGATACCAGCCAGGTGATGAGTTATCTTCCCTGCTCTAGAAAGTATTCCATTTATAGTTGACTTTGTAGAGCTCAGCTCTTGCTGAACTCCTCACTCTTGGGAATACTCCTCAAGAGCCCAGGGGCAGCAGGGCCCAGCAGTCTTCCCTCCGGTCTTACCTGGTCAAAGAGACTCAGACTCAGGACAGGGAGGGCGGTGTAGACCAAGTTGTAGAAGGTGATGAACCAGTTATCGTAAATCGTCTGGAAGGACATCAAGGAGAGCTCCTAGACTCCTCTCTTCTCCAAGCTCCAGCTCTGCCTCCCAGGCCCAGGACAGCCACAGCCTCCCACCACCACCACACTAACCTAGAGCAGCAGCTGGTTTCAGAAACCTGGCTCAGAAGGTTGACTCCCAGTCTCTATTTTGTCTTCCTCTGTTTAGAACCCTGACTGGCCCTGAGTCCCAGGCTGGGGCAAGCGACATTAAGCTTTCAAAGTTGGTCTAGACCACCCCTGTACCATGACCTGGCTTGACCCTCTCTGTACAGAAAGGACCCAGAGTGCCTGCTAGGCAATACTGTCTGTACTTCTGCACTCCCAGGCCTGTAAGCCTCTGGGCTCTTTTCTCTCTATAGCACACTATTGGTTTCCAGTGTTTCTGTAGCTCTGGATACTCCTGACATTGACAATGGGAAGACCCAATAACCCTTGCCCAGCTAGATGCTCCATCCTGGAGCCTTGAGAGGACCCCTTTCCTTCCTAGCCACAAGAGGTCAGTAGCCACCCCCACCCCCCACCCCCAACAAACCAGGCTGGCTGTTCTACGTGTGGGGTTGTACAAGTCTTCTAATCTGACTGGTCTGCTTTCCGTGGGCCTACGGCAACAAGTATAACAGGGATTTCCCAATATAACAATCACTGGGGTTGCTTCAAGGAGCTCTGGTGGCACAGTGCCTAAGACATTTGACTGCTAACCAAAAGGCTGGCATTTCAGACCCACCAGGTGCTCTGCGGAAGGAAGATGACTGCCTTGGAAACCCAATGGGGTCACTGTGAGTCAGAACTGACTTAGTGGCAGTAAGTTTGGTTTCTGGGTTTAAGGGTACTTCTCTTGGGAATCCTTGAGAGACTCCTGAAACTTTTCTTAGGAAAAAGGACTCCTCTCAGAACATCAAAATCTAGGTGTGCCCTTCTCCCATTGTGGTGGAGAGATCTCAAATTCAAATGTGGAATTAAGTGATCAGAGCAAGAATTGTGTGTGGGGGCCATGGGACTGGGGGAGGAGAAGCCAAAGGAAGCCATGTTTCCAGGTATGGTGTGGAGGAGACCATAACCGGCCTGCCTGGCCTGGCCCAGAGGCTTCCTGAGGCTTCTCAAGGCTTAGCCTGACCCATAAAGATTACTATGGATGCCAAGAAAACTCCCAGATCTAAGAATTTTCTCACATAAGTTTGGATCATATAGGACTGGGAGATGGGATCAGCATGGAACCAGGAACGTAACGGGTGGATGACTGCACATCACACATTGGTCTCTAGAGCAGAAAAAGGGTCTGAGCTGGCTGAAGTGGGGGGTGACTAGAGGCGACCCACTTGAACAGAGTGGGCACTCTCACATGCCGCCTACCTGTGCAGAGAAGCCGTTGAAGAAGGCATACCAGAAGTGCACCAGGGTGAAGGCAAAGTTTTTGTAAAAGAAGTAGCTGAGAAACTTGCACATGCGATTGTAGGACCAGCGGCCGTGGACCAGGAGCAGGCGCTGCAGGTAGTGGAACTGGGGTAGAGTGAAGTCACTGCTGAGCACGGCCTGCGCGCCCTCCCTGCCGCGGACGCCGACCCCAATGTGGGCAGCTGCAACGACACCCAGAAGCTTCTCAGCCACCGAGCTCACTGTTGGGCTCCTAGCCTGAGGGGGCAAAGAAGGCTGAGGTCAGGCTGGACAGACCCCTTATTTACAGCTGGAAAATACGGCCAGGCCCCGCTCCAAATGGCATTGACTTGGGGGGTCTTTTCCCCTGAGTGGACTGTCCCCCTCCTGCAAGTGAGAAAAGAGCTCCTTGACTGGCACTTTGTTTGGGACGCTGCCACTCAGGAGTGCCTGGCCAGACCGGGACCAGAGGCTGTCCCGGTTGGTTCTGCCCCTGCTCCAGCCATCTGGGCTGTCTTCCTGAGTGTCCCAGTGCTGAGCCAATGTTTTCTTGTTATCTCTGGAAGCCACTTAAATCCGTTAAAGCTGCAGGACGGACACTAGGCTAACAAATAGTCCATTACCTGAGTTTATCTAAGGGGCTGAAATCCAGCTGTTGGGAGGAGTACGTGATACACTTTAGTGAGGCACAAGTTCTCCAGAAGACTGATGGGTAAAGCAAGGGCCACACCTCAGGAGAAAGAAGACTGAAGTCCCTAAGAGCTGCTGAGTGGAGTGGAGGCCGAATTCACGCCTCTCCTGGATATACCCGCTGCACCTATTGGAACCTCTCCGGCCTAAACCCCAAAGAAGTCCTAGGACCTGAGGAAGGCAGCAAGAGCACTTCTCAATATTGAAGCGGAGGCTGGAGTGTTGGCCAGCGCTTCCTGGGTGGGGAGGAAGGTTGGACCAGAGGACTCTGATTTCTCTGTATCTCATAGAACCACGAGTTACTGGAGGCTGCCAACAGTCAGCTGAAATATAGACTGACAGATCCCAGCCATTTTGCTCCAGTGGTTCGAAGCTGTTAGCAAGCCCCCTGCAGAGCTCAGGGGTCTTTGGGAATCTCGTCTCAGGGGCAAGAGGTCCTGGCACTGGGCCTCACGGATCACTCCCTGGCCGGGGCAGTGCTGTGGCCTGCCTAGTGGTGCTCAGGGCTACAGCCTTCCAGAAGGGACCAAATGATGACTCCTGCCCAGGGGTCCTTCCTGTGGGTCCTGGTGTCATCTCAGAAAGACGGTATAGCACTAGCTCAGTCTGTTGTTCTGTGAACGTATGCACGTGTTCTTGTGGGAGCTGGTGTATACATGTGTATCAGTTTAAGTACATGAACCTGCATGTGTGTGCAAGCCTGTGGGTGTGGGATGATATATGCACATAGAAATAAGCGGTGCAGCTATGGGAGCAGGGATGTAACTGCACAGCAGCCTTAACCTCTAACATATTCGCTGTGTAGGAGAGAGCCAGCAACACAGTGCCAGCTCCTCAGTTCTGCCCACAGAGGAAAGGGTCAGCTGATGGCTGGGGCTCCTCCCTCCGCGCCCCCACATGCCTTTGATCATGCCGACGTCATTGGCCCCATCCCCGATGGCCAGTGTCACCACCTTCTTGTATCTCTTCACCAGGTCCACCACCTGGGCCTTCTGAAGGGGCGTCATCCGGCACCAGACCACTGCCTTGCACATGCATGCTGTTCGCAGCAGTTCCAACTCCAGGTTCCCCTCTAGAGCATAGGCCTGTAGCACCAGGACAGGTGGCCCCAAGTGGGTCTCAGTGCGGAGCATTCCTGGGACCTCCCCGTCCCTTCTGCACTCCCTTGTCTTTCATAGGACAGGCACAACTGCACCCAGGGCCTTCCACTCCCCAGATGAGGCCAAGCCCCCCATATTGGGTCCAGGCACCCTCACCTGTAACTCAGCCTCCAGTGAGAAACTGGTCGGGGTCCCTCACTGGGTCAAATCAGTTGACTGGCTATGAGAGCAAGTAACTTCCTGGAGGATCTGCCTCTGCTAGTTTCCCCTCCAAGTGAGAGGCCACCATAATTAGTGAATGATTTGGATAAGAAAAGAAAATGCCCTCTGCTTCTCTTTTTTATCGGACAAGCCCGGGGACAGGGGTCTGGAAGGAGGGGAACAAGTGAATCAGAGAATAGGGTCCCGTAATTTCCCTGAAGTAGGTTGGACCTAGGAGAAAGTTCCTCAAGAGAAGAGAACAGAGTTGTAACTCTGTGTTGCCCACCATACTGTAGCCATTGATGATCAAGCCATAGTTGCCGTTGGGTTCCTCCTCAGGTATTCGGAAGGGCTTTTTGGTCTTGGTGAGAGAGATGTTGACTGGATCTGTGTTCAGTAGAGACTCGGGTTTCATCCGGTTCCTTGCTGACCTGAAAGCCAAGAGCAGTTGATGAGAGTCTAACCTGACACCCCAGGGCTTAGGAAGGAACACGTGTTGTAGACTGACAGTGGGCGAGGTGGGCCTAGGGCCTCGGTAAGCAGCAGCTAGGCGCTCAGCTCCTCCCCAGACCTGTCACCTCGTTGGGTCCCTGACCATCCATCCACACACCACGATTCTCCGTCCCCACACTTGAACATCTTTAGCCCTAATGCTTTTTTACAAAATTCTCTCAAATATTTTAGGTTTCTTATTTTCTTTCCTCCATTTAGTCTCTGTGCCTTCTGGTGGTGTGGGGGCCACACCAGAGGAAGAGGTGGGAAGGAAATCCCACCTTCCATGCCTCCATGGTGGCCGTGGCAGCCCTCCCACATGTGTACCTGAGTTCCTTCAGAAGAGTCTCAGCGTCCTTGCCCTCCACAACAAACACTCCATCCATTTCTTCGTCAAATATGTTACATGAGTAGGCGATGTTCACAGCAGTTTCTGTAGGAACAGCAGAGCACAGAGCTCACTTTGGCTGGGCCTTATCTGTGGCCCAGGGTGCCACAGTACACAGGTTCGTGGCCTCTCACCCTGGGCTGCAGAGGCCATTAGTCTACACTTCCATGGACACAGGCTAGTGTAGGTTTTTTTTTTTTT